AAAAAAAAAAAAAACATACAAACAAACAAACAAAAATACAAAAATATTTAGCTTTAAGAGGGTTAGGCCTACCCTAAAATTAAGGAACGCTCGACCTCGACACGTGATATCGAAATGGGCGAAATCGCCTCTTGATATCACTAACTCTCTCTCTCCTCCTCCTGATTTGATCCTACTCTGACTTGTTCCAAAATATTTCGAGTCCTTCATAATTTCCTATTTCATAACTGCACCTTTTCTTTGTACTTCCCCTCAGGTATATTCCCTCTCCTGAATGCAATTCCATAACTGACTTTGCCCATCCATACCCACCTTCTGGGCTGGGAATAAATGGAATTTTATTCTATCAGGATCTCGAGGAAAAGGCATTACTAATATTTATCTTCTTGAGGGAAGACATGATGCTTTCATATGTTTCTTTGCTGATCCAAGACAATTTTGATATCTCTTCTAGATATTCCCAATCATGCCAATTTCAAAGGCAAGACCACAAGGCAGTCTGAAAAAAATATTCCACTAACACGGGTTCTCACTACACTTCATCAGCTACAGATTTTCTCTTTTGGACACAACAGAATCTTACTCATGATCAGGTTCTCCTAAATAATCCTCACTCTAGTTCTCATTCGCTTCTCAACTTTTACCACCGAATTTGTCTCAAGAAATCAAATATGCATATATTCTGTTTCTTCTAGTTCTATGCCTCCCACATTGATGTTTACCTGGGGGGAAACTTCTTGCACACAAGTTTTGCTCAGTTAACAATGAGATTCAGTAAGTTTCTGTGACTAGTATCTTCAATGGATCAACTGTATCTTGCAGTTCTTTCAGGATTTTGATACTAGAACGAAGTCATTAGAAAATCTTAAATGATTAAATTATAAGAGACAGATAAATTATAATAGTTTATAAGAGACACTGTCTCTTTGAATCCACATCCTTAAAAGGTGACCCCCTCCATTCTGAGACTAGATTAAGAAAGTGAAAAAACTGATGATATCAAGAGGGAAGTCATCAAGACATCAAGTATCTATACCATATGCCCCTTCATGGGGACTGCATAATCCTTACAGAACAAGGGTGGAGTGAAGAGAGACAGACAGCAAACACAATCAAGAGAGAGAGAGGAGAAAAAAGCCAAAAATATATATACAGGGTGGGCCAGATAAAACAAAGTTGTCATTTTTGGTGAGTCATCAATCTCTTTGTAGGTGGCAGATTTTAATTAAAATTGGTAGACGTATAGATTGACACAATTGAAGTTTGTATACTAAATTTCAGATTTCTAGCTCTAAAATTATAAGAGCTGTAATTATTTTCTGATGACCACCCACAAAATGTGCTGTCGAAAATATCGATATGAACTTGAGGCCGGGATGAAAGGGAGGTCCACATTCATGAACTTCCATCCCTGCATGATGCTGCAAAGGAAGACTGGGAAGAACTGCCTCAAAGGTTCATTGACTGAGCCATTGATCTGTGGTGCTGCAGACACGAGGCTAATGTTAAACAGAATGGAGGGCACATTGAGCACCTTTTCAGTTGAAATGAATGTCCCAAAACCAAATGGTGGGCTTTTATTTTTGGCATTTGTGCATTTGTTTTTGTTCTGTTCATTTGCTTGTTTGATTTTGTCAGTTGTGAAAGATTTTAAGCTGAAAGAAAAAATGAACACTTACTTTTTTGGTGATGAAATGTAAATTAAATGCCAATCTCACAGTTTTTGGAATTTTTATTTGAAACTTGGTACACAAACCCTAATTGAGTCACCATATGTGTCTACCATATTTCATAAAAATTGGCAACCTATAATAAGATTGACAACTTATCAAAAATGATAGCTTTGTTTTTTTTTTTGGCCCACCCTGTAGATTGGGATTAAGCCTGAGAGTAAATTTGCTAGGCAAAAGAAAATCGATGGGTACATGACAGTCTCATTTAGGCTTATATCAGGCTCAACCCATAAAAGAAATATATACTCAGTAAGGGAAAAGGCCATATATAGGAATAAAAAAAAAAGAACTGGTCAAAACTTATGTTGAGCATATGCACCAAGGTAACAAGTAATTTATTTTCTTTCTGAGAGAAGAGAAAGTATGATGAGACAAAATCCAAACCCCTTAAGGCCATTGCGCACTTAGCGTGTGATGTGTACAATTTTGACCTGCATGTGGCTTGCGCATCTGCATGCATTCGAACGCAAGGGAACATGCACATACATAGCATGCCCTCATGCATTTGGGCCATTCCACATATATAGAAAGAGAAATCCTAAGTTTAAAGCCAGTTAAGGAGGGCAATCCAAAACATCACATTAAAATATATATTCTGATTAATTAACCCTCATCCAGGCAAGCTTTTTTACAACCTATTCCGGGCAAGGTGAGTCTGTCAGACTCATGTAAAATAAGGCCATTTGCTACAGTTATGGTATGTATTCTTATAAATAACAGTACTGTAACTAAAATAATACAGACAATTTATTCAATGGCCCTGATAGTTTAAAAAAATAATGACAGTAATAGACCAAAATATGTCGTAGAGAGTCCAGCGGACTCACCTTGCCCGGATTAGGGTTAAAGAAGACCCTATTCAAAACATAGTGATTGTGATTCCTTCATACTTGTGGTGGTGTGTGGGCATAAATGAACATGTGTGTTCCCTTACATTTGAATGCATGTAGATGTATGCAGACGCCTGCTGCATGTGTGTCGAAATCGCATGCATCACACGCTAAATGTGTGATGGCCTTTAGGCTTAAAATAAACAGCCTTGAGCATGTTTTGAGATTGGTGGTTTTGTGACATATACCACTTCAGAGAAAAAGAGCATATATTGTCCATTCATAATTTGAGATTGCACATTGATGTGATATTGAAAAAGGCTATTTTGATTTCTTGTTCAGTTAAATTATGCAAAATAGACTTTGCAGCAGGGTTGAAATTTGTCTCACCTACACTAACGCATCACCATGGGATGGGAGAAAGTAATATGACTCAAGTAGGTATGATACATTACTACAATGCTATGGCAGGAATATCCAGTCAGTTATGCACTATAAATACAATATGATCTGTGAACCAATAAAGGAGACAATCCATGGTCTAGACTTCAAAGTTCATGCAAATGAAGATGGCAAGATAACCTGGTCCTGACAAAACCACACAGATTTTAGTTTGGGGCATCCTGGCTATTCCAGTAAAATGTCAAACAGTTTCAAAAACCTCTTATCCCAACTTAATGGGGTTGTGACTTGAGCAGGTCTAGGAACAACTTCCTGTTTTTGCAATCCTGGGCAGCAGACTCAAGTTAATTAATCATTTCATAAACAAATTTTTTTATGCATAGTCTTCCCAGAGCATGGGGACAATTGAACTTTTTCTGGGAAGTACCTCATATTCTTCCCACTGTCCATGAAAGGGTTAATGGACAGTTAAATTTCATATCAAAATACTGCATGGTAGTTTGAAGTAGATGTCTGTCTTAGTATACCTTTGTCTGGATGCCTGGACTCCTAATGGCACCACGTGTTGGTCTGCTGCCAGAGGTTCCCCTGGCTCTCCGACTGGACATGCCCCGGGTAGGAACTACTATCTTGCCACCCACTTGAGATGATGAGAAAGGTTTGTTGATGTCAGCCTTATTCACATCTTGTGTCAACATCAATGATGAATCCATTGCTGGTTGAATTTGCTGCTGCTGCTCAGGGCACCCAGGCACTTGAGGCTATGAGAGGGAAACCAGCATATTTCATGACATGTTGTCAGTTAAACCAAAAGTTATCACAACATAAAGAGACATGGTAACACCTAATGATTAGAAATAGTCTGGCCTAAGGGACATTTCAAGTTCTCAACAAAAAAGGCAGAAAAAATTAAAAGGAAATGAATGGAAATTGAAATATATGCCTCAATTGAAAAGAGAAAAACATTAATCCAATGCATCACATACATTAACTCCCAGCAGAATGGATCATATAAAATTGTGCCAGAAATTATAAGTACTGACCTGAAGAGGAGTATTTTCCCCCTGGATGGAACCCAAGAATGCAGGACCTGTCAAACACCCAGGCTTATCGAGGGTTACCGTCCCATCTGCATTTACAATGCCCAAAATCAAACCCACACCATTAGTGTTGATTGGGTGAACACTGTCCAAATCAGCTTGCATCTCATTTGTTGCAAATTCTCTGGCTTGTTGTTGCACCAAGGAATTTCCCCCTGAAGACTCTGGCAAAGAAGGGACCAACTTAGCACTGTTTGGGGAAGACAGTTGAGTTTCTTCAATCTTGATCAAATGTTCCTTTTTGTCCAGCTTTATGGCTGTAATCTTCCTCTGTTTCTTTTCTGCTTTTTTTGAAGCATTTTTAAAAAGTGATACCTCTTCAACTTGCTTCCCCTTAAATGATTGCTCATCTCTCTTTACCATTTTTCCTTTCCCTGTTTCTTCCTGTTCTTTTTCTTCTATGTTCTCCTCTCCACAGACAATCTGCTCTTCTTCAGTGATGAATACAAAAGGAACAGTTTCCCTAGCCTCTTTGATTAAATGTTCTTCATATCTGATGGCAAGACGGAATCGCTGGCCACACCTCTGACACCTCCAAGATTTTTTTCTCTTTCTGGTGTCTGTGTCAAACAAATCTTGATGAATTCTATCAATGTGCTTGAAAAGTTCTACCTGTTCCTTGTTTGATGCTAGGAATATATGCAGACACTCTTCACACCTCAAATCCCTTTTGTGTACAGTCTCAATGTGTTCTACAAGGTTTACCTTCCTCAAAACTTCTAAATCACAAGCAGTGCATCTCAGAACTCTGTATTGACGTTTTAGACTTTGACTCATCTGCAACACATTATCAGAAAAACGGATGAACCACATTATACATAACCCATTTTAGCCTGCATTAAAAGTATGATGCTTAGAGCAAATACCATACCTTGTAGCATAGGTTCGGCAACAAATTTGAAATCACTTCCAGTTAGGGATAGGGTGGTCAATTGACCACCTTTTAATTGACTATTAATGACCACTAATTTTTTTAATTCAGTGAATTAAGATATTTTTATAGAGCTCATAACTGTGATCATTTATCCCCCAGCACTAAAACCAAAAGAGCCAGTTCAATTTTTAAGATTTGTTCATGCAGCCTGCCAAACACCTAGACTGTGGCACCTGTTGCGTATGAAAACATTTTAGCAAATGCTCAAACTACCATGACCTTTCACCTGAGTGATGCAGAGTGTGTGTGTAGGGATAGCTTGCTGTTCAAAGTTTTATAGCCTCAAGGACTTTCAAAGTTAAGGTTCAAGATCTAAGTAACAGCTTTGGAACTTTAGTTTCATGCCAGGTCAATCATGGTCCTGGCTAATAGTCCGCATCAAGCATTAAATTATTCTCAAAGTCTGTGATCATGGGACAAGTACTTGGGTTATGCTTATGCCTATGCCTAAAAATATTAATCTAGCTATGAAACATGATTCATTACTGTTTACCCTATAGATTGCATGAGTTGAAACATTAAATTTATCTTAGCAATGAGATGTTGACTGGTCAACATGGTCATTTATGATCATATAGTCATGAGGCCTAACCTCTTGTTGGGCTCATAACCATTATTTTCTGCAAATGGTCTAAAATGACCATGTTGACCAATCAACTTCCCATCCCTAGTCTATCACTTGTGAGTCATGACATATATAATGGTACAAAAACTACGAAGAAAAAAAAAAATAAATAAATAAAAGTTGGTCCTATTTACCAAAATTGACCATATTGCCTGGTCAATTGACCAGTCAATTGACATGCTTTTAATTGACTGGTCTATAACCCATCCCTACTTCCAATATGTGATGAAGGCAGTGTTGAGAGGCACGACTGAATGTCCTGGGTTCGGTGGTGTAATGGTAGCACACCTGACCGGCAATCAGGAGGCCCGGGTTCAATTCCCGGCCGTCCCCTGGCTTTCTTTCATCCTCTCTCGTCCATCCAACCTCCCTACCTTCAGTTATTCACGTGACAAATATATGAGAACCCTTTTCAGGGCAATGGCAGCTATTGAAGGAGTGTTAAAAAGTAACAATCTTTGTATTATAAGTCCTTCATCTTTCCTGGAAAGGCAATCAGGCTAGGGCCCAGGCTCATTCACTTTCTCTTCCCTCTTTGCCCCCACCCCCTTGCAGCAGGGTATAAAAAGCTGCCTTACTTCCTTGCAACTATAATTGTACACATGTAATCTGCTGTGGATAAAATAGGCAGTGCTGGGTGTGGGTTTTTTATATGTAATCGTTGAGCACTGCCATTGTGTATATATTGGACAATAGCTCTGAGAGTTGTCTGTGCGTTTATAAAGTACTACACATTTTTTACTGTTAGTCCATTTTCATCAAAATAACTCAGTCTGAGGGGGATAGGCTACTGTATTTAATTGTGATTAATACAGTACTTAAAAGGTTAATACCACAGTGTTGCTCCTCATCATCCAGAGTATCAATGAAAATTTTTTGAGAATTCACGATCAAACTATGAGGAGTAGGACTGCATTTTTTCCTCAAAACTCCCATGGAGCCTCTCTATTATAAATAAAATTTTTGCTATTTCCTTGAAACAATTCCAAAGACCACATCACTTAAACCTTGAAATTCCTAACATAAAATGAGTGCAATGTCAGAACATTTTTGCCTGAAATATACAACTCAACATTGTAGTAGCTTCAGGAAAATTTCCAGTTCCACCTCAAAAAATGACACTACTTGCAATTAATAACTTTTGAACAAAGCAATTCTGTGCTGATAATGCATTCACAAATACCTAGTTTTAAAATAAAATACTTCAGCTCTTTTGATCAGTTGAATTGTTGATGTTGATGTAGACTGGAAGTACCAGATAAACTGTGATCCTTTGTGATTCATATCTAAATCTGAAGGTCCATGTAGATTGCATTTTTCATTGAATCATGGCATACTTATATGGGTAGCCATACTTTTTCTAGAAACCCAAGCCAAGCATAAAAATCCTCACACTTGGAATGGAATAAGAATGAAAGATGGATGACATTAGCATGTCTAGGCGCCATATTTATGCTTCAATGGACAAAAGCATCACATTGATTAGAGGAAAGCTTTCCTCCTTCAGTCTCTTTTTCATACTTATGTATTGCTCTCCAACTATTCCTCCAGCCCATGATGGGCTCTTTTATGACATCGCTATAACATGACATCACAGGTAACTTAGATACAACTAGCTAGTTTTAGCCTAGTTTAGGTAATTACCTATATGGTGTTATTCATGTGACTCAAGATATAACACTGTAATATCCAGATATTTCCTAATACTGCTTTAAAAATTGCAGAACTATTCCTAAATGAAAAAGGCAAACAAAAACAAAGAATTGAAAAAAAAAGAGAACTAAACTCACTAGATGCAGTCATTGAAGATCATGGAAAGATAATTGCTGATACCAATGGAGTACCTGAAAAGAATGCATGGCTATTTCATTTTGCTACCTAAAAATGTACAGAAAGTGGCTATGGTGAAGGAGGATGGAATAGATTAAGGAAATGGGGAAAAAAAGGAAAATTTTTGATGCAAGGATATTCTATAGAGAATCGTATATAAATTAAGAAACTTCACATTTTTTAATTAATGGCCTTTCAGTGAAAACATGCTATGACATAAAAATTATCATCAGTGTTACTAATGAGTTGATGATTAAGTCAACATTCATATGTTAATCATATGTTCAATGGGCCCTTCTGGACTAAAGTTCTTGGTCTGGAAGTCAAATCTAAAATACCAATTCAGCATATCCATGTTGGCACAGAAAAATTTAGGGGATAGACACAGATAATCTTTAAATGAAACAGGCAACTAGATAACCATTCCTTCTTTTGAACATATTCTTTATTCCCAGGCAATGGTGTAGTTTGGCTGATAGATAGGATGAGACCTTCTGACACAAAATATGAAGACACCCTATAGGAAAAAAACATAACATTCACTCAGGGTTCCCCACAAAGTGTGTATGTTGGGCTAACATGATATCGCCACCCCCTTTCATACTATCCATTCCAGGAATTTGGTCTGCACCAATACTCCTGAATATTCCCAACCAGCTCCTTACCCCTTGTCTGGACCCGATCCTTTGTGAATCTCCCCTTCAAATGTTAGCAATTTCTTTAGCCCAGCTCACCCTTCACTAATGTGTATTTGCAGCCATAGAATGGATGGAGAAGGTGGCTGTGGGAAAAAGAGAAAATAAAGAAAACTCATATAATAGGCGAGTTTCTATCTTCTAGCTACTCCCCAGACATGAGCCCTCTATACACCCAGGGGACCAACAGCTGTGTTACTTGTATTGCTGGCTTACTTGCTTCAAGAATATCCTGGGGGAAACTGAATAACTTTCACTTATGGGGAATGGATAAGCTCAAGGTTAGGTGCACATGCAAGAAGGTCCTGTTAAGGGTCTTTGGCATAGCCATGATACACAGGTCATAATTCCCTATTCAAGCCCAAGCAATTCCATGAGGAACCATTAGTACCATCAGCAAGCATGTATTCACCAACTGGGAGGACTCCATTCAGCAGCAGAGTGTACTTGGTTTACTAGAAGTGAAAATGGAAGGAACATGCTTCCTTGGTGGCTGCAAAATTAGCTTGGGATATTCACAGTAGTTTATAGAAAGATTTAAGGAAAGCAAACAGTTGTTCTCATTTCAGGATTAACTGTAAGTCAATTCCAAGGTGGAAATGCTTTTGAGACTAACATTTTCTGAACATAATCTTTGAAAAGACCTTTGAAAATAGTCAGAGGAGCACTCAATCACACTGATTAAAGGGGACAGAAGATATTGAAATATCAAGTGAACCAAGGCCACCAAAAAAAGGCTCATAAATAAGCTTAAAGGCTTGAAAGGACTGAACTTAATTTTCACAGGTTTAAAAAATGGAAAATTTTCATAAACTGAGCTGATGTCAATAAAACTCCTCTTACTCTGCCTTACTGAACTTCACTTTAATTGCTCTTTCCCATTATCTAATGCAAAATATGGGTTGAAAAAGTCAATGGCAGCTGCTTCATGTATTTTTGCCCCCTGAAGGTGGTCATGGATCTAAAAAAATAACCTCAATAAAGGGAGAGTTAAATTGGTAATTCTGTTTTTATTTGCCCTTATTCCCAGCTATACCTCAGGCATAATCTCTTCCTACCAACATATCCATGTATGTTTGCAATTATTATAGGCTGCCACTGAAACAGAAGCAAAAGGGGAAAAAAGAATGCTGGCAACAAGTGAGGGTTGAACAGTTTCCAAACATGAGCATAGAGGAAACTGACATCACATTACTGTCAGGCTGTCAAGGAAATTAGGTTAAAAATTTTCAATCTATGTAGCTGCAGGGGAAAGGAGAAGGAAGAAAGAACTGATCTGCAAAAAGTATTCAGAAAAAGCAATGTAGGCTGGTGGAACCTCTTTGATCAGGCCTTCACCCCATTAGGCACACTAGAGCTTAGTAAGGGGTAATCATCCCTAGCTGCTCAACAGAATGGGATTTCACGATGAGGGCACACACCCCTATAAGAGCGTTGGCCGTTACTGGTGTTTCGACTGGAGAATTAGTTCATCCCAATTATATGAAATATCGGGGAAAACTTGTAACACCATAGAAAGAAATCGTCAGCATTAATGGGGTGTGAAGTCATTTTATGGCCAGGGTAATTACAGGCCAGGGTGTCGTCAACCCCAATGCGAGATTTCCGCCTGCAGACCCATTAAATAGGCCTAGCGTTTAAGTCCAAGTTCATCATTTAGGTGTAAGGGCAGGTGTAACTTTAGTCATTGTTGCGAGCTTGAAGGAGTCTGCCCTGGTATTGTCTGGTTTCTGCCCATACGTGTCGAAAGCATTTGAAAAACCGCTTAAACCCAACTCTTGAAATAAAAAAGAAACCAAAAGGAAGCCAGTGACTTGGGATTAGCGACTCAATAGAAGCAAGCGCCTTCGCTGCAGTTGAATCAAACAGGCGTTAATTCAAGGCCAAAGTGTCTCAAACAATGAACATACGCTTAGACTATGCGAAAGCAATCAGGTCCAGAGGCCGCAAGAAGCGCAAAAAGGGGAGAGTTCGGAGGATGGAACACCTGCGGACGAGACAAACGTAAAAGCAGGAAATGAGATCGTGTTTCCATCTGGCGGTATTCCCATGAACTGAGCAAAAGGCCGGTTTCTACGCTGATTGCACCGCCCTATCTCTTTTTATATGGTGCCGCATGTCAGGCTACTTGAGCGACATCTGCCGTCTCAGAATGATTACCTATGACTAAATCAATTACCTAAGTAGGAATTAAGTACTTCCCGCTTTCGCCAGAGTAGAGGGGGATGCGATCAATCGAAAACCACTGTAATTTACAGATTGATTTCGTATCCCTACACAAGGGGCGATCCGTCGATTGCAGCAGTGGCAGTTCGTGAGCGAAGAATCTGGGGAGGCCAGCACATGTTCTTCGTAATGAACAAGAATGCATTGTAATATTAAGGGGAGCATGAAACACAAAAGTTGCGTTTATATCTGCCTTGCCGCCTGCAGTAGCGAATACAGAAATTATTTATGGAGAGGGGGGGGAAGAGCTTCCCCAGTTCCTAACTTCCCCCCTGGATTCGCTATTGGTCAGCTGATGAGTTGTACTTCTTGAAGAGGTGGGTAATAAATAAACGGCTACACGGAGAACATTCCATCTAGGCCGTGTATTTTGAATCGAAATAAAAGCAAAGCGGGTCTTGATACTTGCAACACTTGAGGGAGAGTAGAGGCGCATCAGGCCCGAGGAGAAAAGTATCGGTCTGACTACATTCTTCCCTAGTGAGTTTCAGAACTTTTCCCAAACAAAGCTCTACCTCGCTCACCTAGTGAATATCAAGCTTATGTGGACAATGTATTGTGAATTTCCGTCCTTTGCAAATGCGTAGATATAAATGGTTCATGAGAATTCGGATGACCGAACAGCTCTCTACTAGTGGCTAAAGCTATAAAAATAAAAAATAAAAAACGATCTGGCCGTTGCTGGCAGGCACCAGTTCATGCGCAAGAATGTGAAGCTGGCCCCCGCGCTTGCGTATATAACGTGGCCAACTGTGTTGTGCTATTTGATACCCCTTAGCATTGTCTATGGGCCAAGGGAAGCCTCGAGGCTCTGGCCTCCTATCCGCGATTCTGAGCAGGAGTCAATGTCAAAGACCGAACTTGGCTCGTCAATTAAAAATGAATCCAATGGTTTTGAGAGATGTCTTTAATATATATTTTAATTTTTTTTATTTTGATATTAAATTTGATCTTACCTAATTTTATGGCAGTGGTTCACAAACTTGGGGTCAGTTGCACTGCCTCAGTAAAGTCAGACTTTCCTTTAAGTCAGACTTAGGAAGCATGGTAAACAGGCTTCCTAAGTCAGATTTAGCGCGAAAGTCTGACTTAACTGAGACAGTGCAACCGGCCATTTCCTTCCCTCCCATTGAACCTTCCAGCGTCCAGTGGGTCGCGCGACCCAGCATTAGGGAATCTCTGTCGTATGTCGTATGTCTCTGTCGTATGGGAAAGTGTCTCCTTAAAATTGTTTATGAGTCTGGGCCTCCCTTGCCTCCCCTGACGAGCCACCACTGGGTTGCAGGTCGTGAAATCTTCCACATGGATCCCCTGATGGAGCGGATGCTCAGGAAGTAGTGTTTTCTCCTCTCTCAATTACCCCAGGGGGGGACTTGGTGAAGGGATCGAAGAGGCTGAAACGATTCAATGTCAGTAACGTTGGTTGCGCGTCCGACAGGAATTTTCTTGAGAAAATTCACGCATAATGACTCCCTGAGTTATGAGAAAAAACCCGAAGGAAGAAGGATCTCCCTCGGCGCTTCGGGTAGGAGAAAGGAAAGCAACACACACTCCGGGTAGAGGCGTGTAATTATTTTTGCATCAGAAGATAATCTAATCCGAAACCGGGGTATTACATTGCTGGACATGAAGTGAAAATGGGAAATTTGGACTTTCCAAATTTCCAAATTTGTCGTTGTTTGGAACACAGGAAATAGCTATTTTCATTGTTACTGGTCAGAATTGAACTGTCACAAAAGCTCATTTTGTTAACATGTTTCCCACTGTTCCAAACGTTGACATAAATATTATACAATTCCTGAGTTTTGAAAATTTATAACTAATTTGCAACAACGACACAGAAAAAATGCACCAAAAGAAATCCTACTGTAGCTCCGTATCAGCTTTAAATAAACAACAAAACATTTTTTTTTCTAGCTCAATTAGAGCCAAATATAGTTTTTTGACCAGTGAAGTTCTCCCCAGGAGGCAAATTTTGAGGTTGAATACCTCGAGAACCGTTTGTACTAGGATTTAGGATTTTTTTTCTCATAACTCAGGGAGTCATTATGCGTGAATTTTCTCAAGAAAATTCCTGTCGGACGCGCAACCAACGTTACTGACATTGAATCGTTTCAGCCTCTTCGATCCCTTCACCAAGTCCCCCCCTTCTTATTTCCGTTAACGTTGATTTAGTTTTTTTTTTTTGTTTGCCCGTTCCCCGATATCCCGCCGTGCCGTCAACAGATCCATTATCTGTCTAGCCAGAGCGCAAACTCCAAGTTATTTCTTCTTCAGCGATAGCGCCTCGGCTTGGGTGAGGACTTCCCATATCTCCCTCCTCACCGACATTCGACAAACGTATCATTTCCCCCACCTCTCGATTCGCATGAGATTATCTTCTGATGCAAAAATAATTACACGCCTCTACCCGGAGTGTGTGTTGCTTTCCTTTTTCCTACCCGAAGCGCCGAGGGAGATCCTTCTTCCTTCGGGTCACGTCGAGCGCGTGGCCATTCACCACAATTTAGAGGCGGCGCTAGTGTGCATCAGTGCCACATCTGCATGCACCAGCACCATCTATTTCATTTTTGGACGAACTACATGGTGCGGTAATATGAATCACCAACTCGTTGAATGTCTGACTGCGACCTTTGGTTGCTTCTATTTTCCTGCTTGAAGTTCGAATGGTGGTTGCTCCTTATCCAAACAGAGACTTCCAACTTTCATGAAATATATTTTGGAGTACTTTCTCTGGCATAAAATGAGGCGAAAATTAGTATTACTAAAAGCGTCAAAGGGGACTTTTTTTCGCACCATACATGAAGAACATTCTTTCAAACGAATCTTCATTTCAGAAGAAATGAAGTCCTGAGTAAAGAACTGCTCTGCTGAAAGGTAATCACCTCCACGGGAAAGCCATTACAGAAGCAATTACATCAACATCTTGAAGTGATACAGCACAATTGAAATATTAGTTCTGTCGTAACACCAGTTAAAACTGCATGCATCCACATCAGCTTATGTATATACGACTTTGAACAGTAACATACTAAAGTCTTATCTCCCATACTACTCCCATCTCCCTTGAATGCAAAAATCTGCAGAAACTGAGGAAAAAGAAACTTGCGCATCTCTAGTATTATTCACATCTCCCTGGTAATACTTCAAATTCTTCCCATTTCACATTGGCATTTACAGGGTGTCCAAAAAGTTACTGTGTACCTGGTACACACAATAGTACGTACTTGAAAGTTTTAAAGAATTCTGGAGAGATCCCACGTGCCTGCAGACAAACACGAACACGCTGAATCAGCGCTGGGATCCGGATTTTATTGTCGACTGTGAGGACCGTAATATGATGCCGCTGCAGGCCCATATTTTTTTAGGTGGAAATGTTTTCGTCGTGGAGGCGAATAACGTGAGGATGTGGGACAACAATTTTCGGAGACTTTTCGTGACATTCCCTTGCCGCACCAAAATGCAGTCCGCCACACAATTGTCAAGTTCCGTGCAATTGGATCGGTTGCAGAAGCGGGAAGATCCGGTTGGCCCTAACAAAGGAGAGACTGCGTCATGTTTTCGATCGAATGTCGCCGAATCTCAGGAAGTCAGATCCCAGATGATCGCAGCCGACTGGGCTCTCTCGCGGCTCTGTACATTACGCTCTCCGTAGGCATTTGCATCTACACACCTACAAGATTACGGTTGTGCAGGAATCTAAACCGATAGGCTATCAAAAGCGTGTAGTCCAATGTGAATGGTTTTAAGACTTCACTGCTGCAAATGACATTCTGGACAGAAGTTTTATTCCGAGAGGACGTGATTCCTTCCATTCATTTAGTTACGTGAACGTCCGATTATCTGTGGGGAGCGATGAAAGGGGACGCTTACAGAAACAATCTCCACAGTATCCCAGAATTAAAGGGTGCCATTAGAGAGTACGTCAGCAAAATTTCAAAAAATGTAGGCGAGGGTCTTCAGAAACAAGACTCAACGCGTTCATGCATGCCTGGAGGCACGTGGGAGCCATTTCCGGCAATTGTTATAACTCGCAGGTATGTACAGGGAGTCCATAAAGTAACTTGACAGCGAATTTTTTTATCTTCGCCAACTGAAATTTTACGTTGCCATAGTCTAAAAGAGAAATAAATTATTTATTCCGGAACACTAGTAATATTCATTTTTCTCCATCCCAGGTACTCGAAAAACTAATATTTTGACAACTACTGAAAATGCTCAGTTTCTCGCAAAGAGCATTTCCTCATTCTCCTGAAGAGAAAGAAGGTTGACGTTGCTCTGGTCGGTCTTGAACTGACCCGATCTCCTGAAACTTCCTAAGATCATGAATGGCTGTGAGAGAAGGCCCTTGGGAAGTCTTGTAATGGCGTTTGAACTTTTGTGTTTCTGCCCAAAGGCCAGGGCCGCCCAGAGGTTTCCAGGGGCCCGGGGCAAAACTAAATCGGAGATCCCTTGGGGGCCCCTTGATACGCGGGGCCTGGGGCAGATTGCCCAATTTGCCTCCCCCTCTGGGCGGCGATTTGTTAAGATATTTGGAGGGCTCAGAGACAGTAATCCGAGTACTTCTTATTCTTCTGCCAAATTTTTTGGGGGGGCTCAAGCCCCCTGAGCCTCTATGAATAGCTGCCTGTGTTTCTGCAACACATTTTGACTCAAAATATCACTCGATTATCATTATTCTTCGTGAGAAACTTAGCATTTCCGGCAGTTGTCAAAATATTAGCTTCTCAGGCTCCTGGGATGGAGAAAAATGAATATTATTAGTGCTCCAAAATAAATAATTTAGTCCTTTTTAAAAGAAATGGCAAAGTAAAATTTCAGTCGGCGACGAGAAAAAGAATCGTTATGTCAAGTTACTTTATGGACACCCTGTATTTTTCGGTTTGAAAGCAGGCACACGGTGGCTTTTTTGACACCCTATAATACCAGTCTTAGGAAAAATGCTACTATTTAGTGAAATAAGACTTGGTGATTTGGAGACTCCTGTTTAATTTCTCGATAATGGCACAAACAGGGACAAGGAAAAAAAAGGCATGGAAATAGAATAAAAGAAGAGAGATAGGCAAAGAAAAAAAGAAAAGAGCTGGACATAGATGCAGTAGTTATAGCACCAAGGAATCAGGCTGCTAATTTTTTTTTCCATTTTCCTCATCCACAAGTCTGCACCTACAGACATAGCTATCACAACACGAAAGAACACATGATAATTCTCGAGGCTGGACTTCTTCGATATGGGTTCGGATATCTGATCACATGACAGAAGCAATTCACTGCTTCTTCTTCACACGTGGGGGAGATTTCCGAGAGGCAGTCAGTGTGAGGTAACCCGGTTTCATGGAAAAAACCAAGTCTCTCTATAAGATACAGTCATACACTACTTACACACACATGCACTAAGACTCACGAATGCATGATATGAAGGAAAAAAATTTTCTAATAAAAAACCAAGCAATGAATTCTGTCTGAATATGTGCACTTTTGGCAGTGATGGAAAAATATTACCAATAAACCATATAGGAAATATAACAAAAGAGAGAAGTTTTTTTTTTGGCACAGACACAAGACAAGAAAGCTGAAAAGCATAAGTTGGCACTGGGAGAAGGATTCGCTCTGCATCACCAGGTCTTGTGCCTTGGACAGGTGTGGTAGTATAATACAAGCAAGAATGAGTGGATAAGAAAACATGTATTGGAGGCACATGAATGGCCTCAAGGATGATGGTGGGTGGCGACCTGTGATTGCTGCTTTCCGTGATCTTGTATTTTCCTTTCAAAGCCTTTCACCACCATCCCTACATTTCACATATACGAGTCCCTCTGCACTCATTCTTGGTCTAATTTGCAATCTCATTCAGTCTGTCCTCAGCTTCCTCACTTTAAAGAAACAATAAAAGAACATGAGCTCAAGGAAATTAGAGGGAGAAGGGAGATGGAAATGAGTATAATGTTACCTTTCACAGGGCTCTACACCTGCACCTTGTAAACTGGCCTTCCCCAGGTTCAGTTCTTTGTCCTGGATCTCCAAGGAGTGAATGCAGCCCACAAAGTTCCCACTGAACCGCCCTCCAGTCATTTGCTTCAAGTTAGGAACCCCTCCTGAAATTATTAGGAACATACATAAAAGTAAAAAATTAACTAATATCTTCAAGGAAGGAATATCAGCAATGATGGCTGGGGTTCAGACCAAGGAAGATATTGCCATCAGTATTGAGCATCTGTAGGTTCCCTTGGGACTCGCCATATACCTCAGCACCTCGGTCAACACTCAGTGAGCCATCCCTCCCTGTGCGCTGCACAACAACCAGATGGCTTTCCCCATCATCAACTCTCTCGTTGCTCCATGTAATGTTTGCCTCACCACTCCCCAGCTCATACAGGAGACTCAGGTACCCATTCCTCACTGCAATGGCATCCAAAGCATTCAGGCATCCTGCTTCAAACATGAAAACTAATACCTGAGGTATTTTCCACAATGACTAACCTGCAAGAGTGATGAAGTCTTTGCCAACTCCATCCTCCTCTGGTTTCTGCCCATGCCAGAGGAGGACACCATCAGATTTGGTTGAAAATTTAATTCTGATTGTCTCTTTGATTGTAGATGTGATATGAGGAAGGAGCTTCAAAGGAAGCTCCACCCATCCTCTTCCATTCAATGATATGCTTCTCTGAATCACAACATCTGCAAGGAACCAACAAAAACCCTGGCTAGAAAGACAAAATCATGAATGTGAGCCAGGAAGAAAAGCACTGACTCTTTTCACAGTTGGAACCAGCAAAGCCAAGTGGGCAGAGACAGGTATAGCTCTTGGATGTGCTATTGCAAGTTCCTCCATTCTGACATGGAGTCTGAGACTGGCAAATGTTATCCTTCTCGATCTCACAGTTCACTCCGCTGTGGGTCAAATGCATGAAATCAGTCTTCTTGTGGTAAAGCAATATATTTTTCCATAGCACAAGATGATCTGAACCTGTATTCCTTGTGGCAGATGCATTCGTAGCCTCCGGACTCATCTTCCAAGGCCCTACAGGTGCCTCCATGAAGACAAGGGTCTTGTGAGCATGGATTTCCATTTGAGCAGTCACCCACATTTGCTGAATCCATCACTGACCCCACAAGGTCCATCCTCTTCCCTCGAATGTCCAACTGCAAAAAAGTCCAACTGCAATCCCTTTTCTCAAAGCACCCATGAAATAAAAGACAAGAGACTCACTTTTGATATGCAGCCCTTAAAACTGGATGATACTCCAACAGGTGTGGCTACTTTCACCTTCTGTGGGTCCACACCTCCAAGATAAAGAGGAGTGCGGAGATTGAGACCACGAGTGCTGCCAGGACTCTTGCCTCTTGCTTCCTCCTTCCCATCCAAAATTAATGCTCCTTCTTTCATGTGTCTTGTCATAGTCACATTGATCCATTCATTAGGCTTGATTGACCTTTCACTCCTCAGGATGGCTGGCCCTATGGGAAATTTTAAATGTCAAGTACAACTTGAAAAGGAATAAGAGTATTTGCCCTACAAGATGAAAACCTACCTGATCCAGTGTCAAACATGAATTCAATGTGTTCATCCTTGATGGCAAGTGCTGTGAAGTCTCCCTGTCCATCTTCACTTTGCGCACAGTACATGATTAACCCATCTCCCAGCTCCACTGGCTTCAATGTCATTGACATGTCTAGCCTACAACAGTGTGAAGTAGCTATGAAAGACAGAAAACACAATATCATGATGAAGTATAATATCGAAAACCAACTTCTTCAGAGCTTTGGGTGTCTTGTAGGCAATGAAGGAATCATCTGCAAATGCTGGTTCATAGATCTTGATCTCCTTTTCACACTTGGGTCCAGTCTTGCCCAGAGGACATAGGCACTCAAAGCTCCCTCCTCGTTCCATGCATCTCCCTTCTCCACATGCACCTGTGGCATTGAACATGATTGAACACTCATAATTTAATATCATGTATCAAGTAACAGTATTTGTGAGCCTACCAGGATAGCAAGTTTCCCATTCTTGGCAGTCAGGTCCATGGAATCCAAAGGGACAAAGACACTTGTATCCTTGGGGGAGGTAGGCTTCTTGGCACACCCCTCCATTCTTGCATGGATTCTCAGCACAAGTTTCACATGTTGTGACTCCTTCAGTCACAATGGCATCCCTCATCAGCTCTGGAATAACGCTTCCCATCACCAGGCGACTAATGCATCCTGAAAGAAACAGATAATTAGGCATACACGTCTTAAGAGTTCTGAAAATGAATTGGCTATAAATCTTATGATTTGACAAAGCTTACCAACAAATCCTTTGCTAAAGCCAGCCTGATAGTGGATTTGATTAAAATCTTGGAATCCACCAAGGTAGAGTGGCTCAACTAGATCCAGTCCTGAGAATTGTCCTTCAATTGTTCCTGTGAATGGTCCTCTTCCATCCACCACCATTGATCCTATTGGCAAAACATACACATTAAAAATAATTTATTTTCCTTTGGGTCAAATAGCAGAAAAGAGGCAGCCAAAACACACCAATTTTGCGATTTCTGGCTAGTTTTACTGTGTGCCAGTGTCCCATTTCAAGTGGATGTTCAGAGCGAATCACAGCTGGACTGGATCCAACGTCAAAGCGAAACTCTGCATATCCATCTTTCAGACCAAATGAGATAAAGTCTCCTTTCCTTGCCATCTGGCCATTGTACAGGATCAGACCTGGAACCAAAAAAACTCACATTAAACATTGGAAATAAATAAATAAAGACACAAGATTTATCATTTGTACCATTGGGGGTTTCAGGGCGGAATGAAATCTCAATATCAAATGTTGTATAAGCATCAGGTAGGGTTGGGTATGATATGTAGGAGTTGGGAGCCTGATTGAAGTATGGCACTACCCCTGTAACAATCACGATGGTTGGAATATCAATGGTCACGTCCCGATTTTTGGCTGTGCACACATAAGTCCCAGCATCCTCTGGATGCACATCTGGAATCTTCAATGTATCCTGAAAAATCCACCAAAAAGCATAATATATCAAGAAATTATCAGTTCAGAGATGGAGTCCAGGGAAACTGCATACAGGGTGACTCAACAAAAAAAACCAAGCGATCGACTTCAATGTGCTGTAAATCAGGCTGCAGTGCCTTGATTTGAGTAAGCTTTTAGGTACACATGAAAGAACTCTTTTGCAACAGATATAAAATATATGGTATGATTTCACTAATTTTTGCTTCATCAGGATGAAAATGTCTGCCTCCATTTGAAAAACTGGTGCAACTGTACCTAGCAGCTGTTTGATTTGGAGCAACAGCTGTTGTTAATAAGAACACATTTTATTTTCTGCAGCAATGTTTTAAGATGTGTTTCTTCCTTCTCCCACATTTTCTTTTTTACAAGAACGAAGCAATACCAAGTTACTTGCATAAAGACTTGCCAGTGATCAAGACTTTGCAATTTTAAAAGGGATGAGAAGCCAGAAAAATGATGAATGAATTTTTTGGTAAAACATACTTTCAGGCTGATCCTCCTGACTCAATATGTGCATTTTGACTTCTTCAGCATTCACTTCAGTTTTTTGGGTTCTGGGCCTTCCACTACCTTGTTTTCAAGTTGCTGATCCTGTTTTTAAACTCACAAGGTCTTGATCCCTGCCAAGTCTTCATGCAAGTAGCTTGGCATTGCTTTGTTTTAGTAATAAAAAAATATGTGGGAGAAGAAAAAAACACATCTTAAAACATTGATACAGAAGATAAAATGTATTCTTATTAACAACAGCTGTCAATGCTCCAAATCAAACAGCTGCCAGGTACAGTTGCACCAGTTTTCCAAATGGAGGCAGACATTTTCATCCTGATGAAGCAAAAATTAGTGAAATCATACCATATGATTTTATATCTGCTGCAAAAGAGTTTTCTCATGTGTGCCTAAAAAAGCTTATTCAAATCAAGGCACTGCAGCCTGATTTACAGCACATTGAAGTTGATCGCTTGGTTTTTTTTTTAGCCACCCTGTAGATACAGATTCTACAACACTCACGCCTTCCTCCACAGCATCAGGTGGAAGAATGCCACCTTGTTTGGACCATGAATATGAAACAGGGGCTCCAAGGTCTGTCTTACAGTCCATGATCACTGTGGAACCATATGGGGCTGTTCTTGTCTCCACTGCTTGAGCAGCCGCATCCAATGGGAATTCCGGAATGGCTAAGGTCAGGAGAAAATTGTCCCTTTGATTGTAACCCCTGACACTGGCTGTGACACTGACAATAGCACAACTACAAAGAACAAAGTGTTAGTAGCATATGAAGATATGAACTATGAGTAGTTCTAAATGTGCTTTCTTTTCTGTGCAGAGAATAACAAAACCCAGTGTTGTTCACAGTGACTTTAGTCATTTTCCCTTCGAAATGGAGTTCTCAGAGAAGTGCAGAGGCATTATGGCTACCCACATTTTCCCAGAATTGAAATGTCACTCACCAAGAATATTCATAGAGCAGCATTCAGAAAAAATAATTATATTACTCTTTGTTCCAGCTAACACAATTGGGATCAGATATGAAGTGAAAGTCATACCTTGAATGGCAAGGACATAATCTTCAGTGTAAGTTCCAGTTCGAGTTGTTACAGAGCAGCGATACAGTCCACCATTCTCTGATTTCACATTTTTAACCCTGAAGGAAAACATGAGTTAACATCAGTAAGCAGTGAAAAATGCATTAAAAATTATTGAGATGCCAAATACTTGAGTGTGCTGCCAAAGGCCTCAATGTTGGATTCAAGTGGAGATTCAACTTTGTTCCATGTAACAATGGCTGAAGGATCTCCTGAAACCTGGCACTCCACAACAAGGTTATCTCCAAGTCGCACAACATCTTGATTTGGTTCCAAGCGAACAGCTATGTTTGAGATGGCTGCAAGAGGGATCAAAGAATTATCACCATTTCCCTCTTGATCATGGATGAAGTGTGTCCAGACGTTGGAAATTGCACAGTACAAAGAGAAAGAGTAGTCAGCAACAAATCTGAAGACAAAGGTCAAAGATAGGACAGTGAAAGGAAGAATGGACGGACCCCGAACAGGTAGGCAATACTCCTCATCAGAGGAGTCAGGACAATGGACCTTGCCATCGCATCGAAGATCTCCAGGGATGCAATCACGAGAACGGCATTGGAACTCGGTTGGAGCACAGAAACGGGATGTTGCTATAGTCCACATGCACATGCACATTAGTGTCCACAACATGCACACATGCCACACCAGACAAGTATTAAAAGGATGAAAGTCCAGACTGGCTCAGATTTTTGCACCTTCTGTCTTTAGCCTAACAACAAACTCCAGTAATACAATTGCTCAGCTGCTTTTTTACAACTGCCTTTATGAAAGTAGAGCAGGGGTTCCCAAACCCAGGGTTGCGACCCAGGGTTTGGATATTGAATTCTGGGTCATGATCAAAAAAGTTTGGAAACCACTGGTACAGAGGGAAATAATAAATCATTAAAGCATCATTTTCTTGGCCTAAGCATAACATACTCTTTTATCTATTCTTGGACTTGAAAATAGAGAACTGGAGCATGAACATACTTTCGTACTGGGTACAGAGAAACAAAAGAGCCATTTTTGGAATTTTAATATCAAGATTTCAATCAATGATAAAGTTATGCAAGTTCTCAGATATATGCACTTACATCTTACCTTTAACACATACTTTTCAGAATTTTCTTTCACCTGGCTTTGTCACAGATGCACTTTAAATATTGTACTTACAAAATTAACAAAATACCTGTTGTTAATTTCTTGCTGAAGAAGTGAACCCAGTAAGCTTGACGGCTTTTGTACCAACTTATCTATCATGTCAGTTTTGATTATGGTATTGCTTTAGGTAGAGAGGCATCAAAAGAAAATTTTCTGGATGAAAGTGTGTTCACTGAATTCAAATAGCAATTCTTCAATGGAAACTTTAGTCCAATGCTTTCATCCAGGCATAAGGATGGCCTCATTGGCTTGCATCAGTTTCAGTGAATCTCCCTGGACATGCAGGGCTTTCCAAATATTTTACTTGCAAACTTCAAAGTGCTTCTGTGACAAAAACCAGCATGAGAAAAAAAAAGTTACACTAGAGGCAAGATATAGATGCATGCCTATTGGAACATACCCAATTGTAGCTTTGACTGATTTTCAGATATGAAGATTCCAACAGCAGCCCTTTTTTCTTCCAAACCCAGTATTTGAAATTTTGCTCATCATGCAGATCAATACCAGTGTGACTTTCCAGTGTCTACATCTAGGAATTAGGAGAGGTAATAACATCTCCAAATACCACAATGTGAATATACAGCTGCTCCATCACCATTCAGATAGCAGTTAGTAGTACAGCTCAACATCTCATGCAGAACATTATCTAAGGACCTAAACTAATTACCTTCTAATTGGCACATGTCAATATACAAATGAGCTCTAAATCTAAATACCAGCTATTCAGCCCTCTCAGCGATATAGTCAAAATGCCCTGGGCATTAGTCACTTATTTTTTGTGAAGTACAGTGAAACCTGTGTAATACAGCCACAAGGGAGACTTTCTAAATTAGGCTGGAGAAATTTTGAGACCATTATTTCCTGTGAGGAAATGTTTGTTTGATGCATGCACATTTTGTGTAAGCACAATTGCTCTTGGGGAGACACTTTGAGCTTTGTGATCACTTCAACTGGCTTATGCATTCCCTTCTCTGCCTAAGCATAAGCTTCTCCATGGCAATTGATGGCCTTTATGAAAGGGAGCAAGATATGCAGAAGAACTAGTGGCAGGTCAACACACTGATGATCGTTGACCTCACTATTGAAACTCCAAAGATGTGACCTTGACAACCAAGCAAAGAGTCAATATGGAGACTAAGGAGGGGGAAGGGAAAAAGGAGACAAGAGGGAGGAAAGAAGGGAGACTGCACGGCAGGGAAATAAAGAGAAAGAAAATCAACCTGCGATCTTCACTCCTTCTTGTGTTCTGGTCGAATTAAAGAGTGGCCAGCACAGAGGATCTGCAAATCCTTGGCTGCTGGCTGTGTTATACAGGTGGCCAGATAAAAAAGGTTTATTTTAACATTGAACCAGTGGAGCTAACAATTGGGACTGAGCACTTCTGGCTGCTAATAGGAGGTGGCCATAATATCAAGGTAGCTGAATTCATAGATTTCACAGTACCGCATGAGATAGGTTTCCATGTAAACCAGTTTTGCATTATGAGAAAATAACTCCTCTTAAACAAAATTACTGACTTGTGAAAATGTGAAAACTAGGTAAGAATTTGGCAAAAAAATTTGACTCAACATTGAGCTTGAATTCATGAAGTCTTCTCAGTGCACCTGATGTCACTTATGGCTGCATCTTTAGTGGCTAGAACCCAACACACAGTCTCTATTTGGACCATAGTCTGAGGTGTTTGTTAAATTAATTCTCTACCACTTTGATCATACAAGGTGAAAGTCACTTGATACTCTGAGATGAAAACTAAGCATTGTGACTCAGTGAAACACATAGAATTGTAAAATTAGGGAGATAGTTACATAAAAAACACATGCTTCATAGCAAGCACTATTGATTATCATCATTAGTATACACAGCAGGTAAAGCTAAGGATGGGCACATTAACACTTTCCCAGGCACAGGCACATTTTGACATCCAACTTACCTCAACCTTTGCTTGGTGTGGGGATGTTTTGAAGTTTCGTAAAACCTAATTTAATTGTAAAATTCAATCATAATGCATGGTATAAATTTCGACTTGATATCTGCTTTAGCTTAATCACAGTAAAATAAAATATAAAATAATACATTTTAGGCAAATTGTGGAAAAAGTCCCAAACAGGACTGTGCAAGATTTAAAATATGCATGTGCCAGGGAAAGGGTTAAATGCTGTAGTTGAGCACTATCAACTTTCATATCAGGATTTATGAGGAAAATGCCTTGAAGTATCTCAGGGCAAATTGACTTGGATGAGGGAGCAATGCACAAGGACTGGTAGCATGACAGCTGTAATTTCCATATGGCAAGAAGGTCAGTTTTGAACAGGAGTTTCTTTCATTAAGTAGGCAAGACTTGTTTCCTCTTAGTCTTTAGAAAAAAATCCTTGGACAATTACAGCATCATCTGTCCTGTTACAGAGAGAGTCATATGCCTCAAGGGTTGCAATTTTGTGAGAAGGGGAATAAATTAAGTCTAACCACATCATATTATAATAGACTGCACAGAGGGGGGAGGTAATGCATTCATGTGTTCCTCAATCCAGGTGAATGACATGCTGGACCGAATCACTTTATCCCCAAAGTCCAGAATAGTCAGGAATAATAAGAGTTCATGAGTAGTTAAGTGGTAGAGACAGAGAAAGTCATTATCTCCATGATGTGACTTACATTCAACTTTGAGTTCAACAAAGTCAGAGGCTGGTCCATAAGCACCTTGAGTTTCACAGGTGTACCTTCCAGCATCTTCCACCTGTACATTAGCAAGTGAAAGGATATTTCCTCTGATATATGCTGATGGAGGAAGGTTCCCATTTGCACGACTCCATTTTACACTCAGTGCTGGTGCATTGACATCACATTTCAGCTCAATGCTAGATCCAACAAACACTGTCTGCTCTCGCTGTCGGGCTACAATGACTGGCTCGTTCTCTGCAAAATCAAAGCCATGTAAAATTAACAAATAACTGAAACTGACAAATTTCTAAGGTAATTCAAAATGTCAGACCATTGACAACAACTTCTGCAATTCCTTCTGCTGATCCAGCAGCATTCTGGGCCTTGCAAACATATCGTCCAGCATCTGAAACTTGGATCCCTTGGAACCTCAGCTGCCCTCTCTGAACAATCATGTTATTTTGAAGGATCCCATTAACGCGAGACCAACTGAGGTCTATGGGTTGCTGGCCTCGGGCAATGCATGTGATGGAGGCATCATCACCAGGTCTCACTGTTTGCTTTCGAGGTATCAGCTCAACAATGGGTGGGGCTAGATGCAAACATGATAAAATTAAGTCAAATCATCACCCTAAAACTGATATCAAATTGGGTACTAGTACTTTATATTACAATAGAGCTGCTACCATTGGCCAAACTCACCACAAAATCCATCAGCTGCACATATACAAGTAGAGTTGTAGAGAACTTATAAGCCTTAAGAGCAATTGAAACATGATCATACTCACATAGGACCTGAAGTGTGGTTGTGGAGCTGAAGAGGACACTCCCAGTGTGATCGATGCCCAAGCATGTGTATTCTCCAGAGTCTTCTGGTCTGACTTTCTCAATGGTCAGTGTTCCATCCTGGATGTAGTGTTGAGTTGACATACTTCCACCATCTGCTCGAGTCCAGTCAATGTATAGGCGGCCATCATATCCTGAAAAATGAAGTGTTTTGTCAGACTACCTTTCAAGTTTAAACCATTTTTACATGAAGGGTATCATCCAAATATGGCATGATTGGATAGTGGAAAGCAATGCATGATGAAAATGCATCCACTTTGAGTTCACCATGAAGAATTAAAAATCTTCTAAAGAATCAGTTTTGTGGAACCATCTCTGAAGCATGCAAACAGATTTCTGGAGTAGTTTCAGTGCTAATACAAGACAGCACAATGCAACTAGTGAAAGTAATGATCCTCAGCATACCATAAATGGTGCACCTCATGTCAGCACGGTTCCCCTCAGGTATAGTGAAAACCTTCCTCTCCACTTGAATTTCAGGTCTGCCTTGTGGTCGGGTTCTGTCTGGAGGCTGAGGGTATGGGTCTTTGGATCCACCTTGGAAAATGTCTTCCTCTCGGACAATGACCTGGATCCGCTCCTCTGTCACACCTGCCAGGTTTCGTGCTGTGCATGTGTAGACGCCTTCATCTGAGCGAGTGGCCTGGGAGATCTCATAGATGGCCATCTGCCTTGAATCTCTTCCTCTACACAAAAATGCAGACAAAACCAACATTCCTTTGCTGGTAATCTATTTTTGACCTTCAAATAATTATTAGTCCAACAACTGATTTAAGAAAATAAAACTTTCTTGGTATGATCAAACATGTCACTGACGAGTAAATGGGTACACCATCCAATCGTGACCAAGACACTTCTGGTTCTGGGTCACCACTCCCTCTGCACTCAAGGCGCACTCGTTCCCCAACACGCACGGTCATAGGATTTGAGTGAGTCATGGTGATCTCTGGGCGAATCTAAAAGCCAGAAACCAATCTGATGAAGAGATGCATATCTCAACATGAAATACCAAGCTGAAGATGTAGTCTTGCCTGGATGACAAGTGTCGCAATGGCTGTTGTGGAACCAGCATCATTTTCAGCACGGCAAGAGTACTGTCCTCTTTCAATTCCAGTCACCTGATTGAATCTATGATATCAAGCAAAGGACAGTGTGGGCTTCTTTGCTGCAAGAATGTGGAAACAGGAATTAGGGCACATGAATACCTGATGACTCCACCCTCAAGCACTTCAGCATTACTGGGGATGGCTTGTCCAGAGGATCGATTCCAAGAGATCTTTGGTGTTGGGATTCCAGCAACAGTACGACATTGAAATAGGGCACTTCCACCATTGATGACAGTCTGTTGGGCCTCTGGATACAACTCAATCACTGGAGCTTCACGGCCTGAAAAAACAATGACTGAAAATCTGTCTTCTGTATGATATACAATCAAAGAAAGAGGAAAACTGAGCTCACGTTCAACTTCCAAGAGAGTATAGGTCTTGGCCACTCCACCTTCATTTTCAGCTGTGCACACATACATGCCTCGGTCTCGCACACTTGCATTTATGATCCTCAAAATGGCACCCTCAACCTTTCATGTTCAAAGACAAGCTACTAGGAGCCAAAAACCTTGGAGCCAAAAAGGGTACGAGAAGAAACTGACCCTGATATTAGGGGGGAGATCCTCTCCTACTTTTGACCAGGTGATGGTTGGTCTTGGATCCCCACTGGCAGTGCAAGTGATGGTGGCAGATGTCCCCTGTGACACTGTCTGTCGTTCTGGTTCAATCTGAACAGTTGGTGGGTGGCTAAAAGTATTAAAAATCATAAGATTATGAAATTAAAAAATAAATAAATAAATAATGCACGATGATTGTCAATTTCAGTAACTTACTTTTTTTGGATGATGGTGACATGTGTCTCAGCACGTGTCAGACCTCCACTCCTGCCAGAGGTGGCTTCACAGATGTACACACCTGAGTCTGAAGGACTGGCATTATAGATGGTTAGCACTCCATTTGACTATAAAAAGCAGTACAGGGATTGATATAAGTAAAGACAGCATAGTGGTTTTGTAAGTCTATTTCAAAACTTATATATTTATATGTAAGTGTATATATTTATTTAAGATGGATAGAATACCTGGTAGGAAGAGGCAGGTAAGCTAGTTCCACTCCTGCTCCAATTCAGTTCCACTCCACTTGTGGTACCAGAAAATGAGGATGGACGGCATGATATTCTCACTGTGTCTCCTGCTTGGCCCTCATATGAGGATGGTGATATGTTTAGTCGAATGCTTGTCTCAACAGTTTCACCTGTTTATGGGAATTACATGTAATAGGAGTGATAAAAACCATGTTGTTCCATTGCAGTTTCATCATGAATGTTTACATGAGGATGGAATATGGCCCTTACGTTCATTGACATAAAGAATGGTGCGTTTGGAATCCTGCCCTTCAGCATTAATGGAAGAGCAAAAATATTCTCCCTCATCTGATTTCTTGACAGAAGTGATTCGGAACAATCCACCAACAAAGGAAGACTCAGGATTCACTGCATGGCCTGGACCTCTTGTCCATTCCATTTTTGGAGGTGGATATCCTTCAGCTTCACACTGGAACTCTACTACTTCTCCCACATTCACCTCAAGGAGTGATGGCCTAATGGTGACCTTCGGGGGGCTTTTTCCTGTGCCTGAATGACAACAACGGAGAAATAGGTTGATGTTTGGCTGATGCTGATGATGTTGAATTGCACATAGGCTTATGTAGTACTTCTTTTACCTGATACTGTGATGGTTGTTCTTTCTCTGGCAATCTTCTCTCCATCGGTGGCTGAACAAACATAAACTCCAGAATCAGAAACTCTCAGATCAGTTATAATCAGAACACCTTGTCCATCATCTGTTGCCCTGCGTGGGGGCAATGATCCATCCTCTCGGGCCCATGACAACTGGAGATTTTTCTGTGAAAAAAATTTTCTCAGCAGGTCAACTTTAAACATCAACATATTGGAGAATAAGATCTATTAAGCTCACCGGTTCCTTGGATGAGGCAGTGCAAGTGAGTGTGACAATTTGTCCAACTTCAACAATCTCAATGGATGGTTCTGTGATTTTGACAGTAATTGAAGCGCTAGCATTTTCATATACTCCTAGACCATCCCTAGAAAGCCCTGCATGGCAAAATCATACTTGCAATGATACTGTTTGCAAGCATTAGTATACTTAGTACACTTGCAATTTGAATCAGAATTTCTAGCACCAGGGAATCTATTTTTCTCCCATTTACTAAATCCATGAGTTGTGAAAAGAATGATAACAATTTGAGTTATTGGAATGAAAAAATTATTATTCATACAGATCTCATATGCTGGTCATAGTGAGGACCCATAAAAAATTTCCAGGACCAATGCTCATGATTCTAAATGATCAATGTGCATTTATCAAATACTATGCAAAGGCTGGAAAATCTGTCACAGAAGCCTGGCAGTTGTTAACCAGCAGCCTACAGACAAGATGCCACATGTAAATCTCATATGAGAATGGCACAAACGATTTTGTAAAGGCCATGAATTCCTTGAAGATGATGAGGGGAGTGGCCAGCCATCCACATGCCATGATGAGGCTACTCTCAGTGCTCATACTAAACTTGTCCACAGTGACTGTCATCAGTTCATCACTACTATGACTGTAAGGCAGGAAATTTTGTATAGATTCTGTCAAGCAATGCTAACCAGAGATTTGAACATGCACTGTGTAGCCACACAGTTTGTTCCAAAAACTCTGACCTGTGATCAAAAGCAGCATCACCTTGACACTTGCAGAGACCTGAAAGCAACTGCTGATAGGGATCCAACATTCTTGTAATGAATCATCACAGGGGTTGAAACAAGGATGTACCTGTTTGACCCCAAGATGAAGGCTGCATTCTGGGTGGAAAACACCATCATCATCATGTCCCATGGGAAGCTGATGTTCATTGTTTTCTTCTATGCCTGGGGCATTGTCCACCATGAATTTGTTCCTCAGGGACAAACTGCCTTGTGCAGAAACATTCTTGGCTCATCACTGCTGTTAGATGCAAACATCCAGAACTCTTCAGACAGTGCATGTGGACCCTCCAGCAAGACAATGCGTCATGTCACACATCAATACTCATCAGGTAATTTCTCACTAGTCATGGAATAACACTGCCACCACTTCCTCCTTGCTTCTCTGACCTCACACCTTGTGATATGTTATTCCTGAGGACAAAATCTCCTGAAAGGTTGCTGTTTCAAGGACATTGATGGCCTCCAGTTGGCTGTGACCAAGCTGCTGAAGGAGGTTGAAAAAAATGGGTTCCAGGAGGTTTTCAAGTCTCTATACTAACATTGGGAGAAGTAATCAAGGAGAGTATTTTGAAAGCAATCACAAAAACCTAAATTCGCTGAAAAGGTTAGCAGTACAATGTGCAGTCCTGGAACTTTTTGATGGGTCCTAGTATATACTAAGCTATTGGTCCTTTCACCATCTACCTCTATGTTCTCATGCACATGGATCATGCTTAGCATGCAGGAAAGGTACACAATTTTTAAGGGTAAGGCAAACCAATTTCTCCTCCACCCTGTAGCTGCAGAAGTGTCTTCCAGCAGGGACAGATACTGGATACCACTGGAAAGTACTTTTAGAAAGCCAATACCAATGAGGTTGTGAGTCTGCAATCCAGATGTGATGAAGTATTTCATGCTTCTATCTTGGGTAGTATATTATGGATGCCACAAACTCAGAATGAAGCCACTATGAAAAGTTCTATAAGAGTAGGGGGTCCATAAAAAAGATTTATAGATGACAACTGCACTTCAGTAAAAAAAACTTGCACAAGCTTTTCAGGTTAGACTACAGAAACTACAGGTGAAATAAACTGATCAACACTAGAGTAGAGGGAGATAACTCAATCAATTTTCTAAATCATGAACTGGAGAAACGAGACTGAGCAAGCTTTTACTAGTGATAGATTGGGTTGGTTAATGTAAAATAAGACCTTCCTTTCAGAAGTTGAGCCAAGGGACAGGGAAGCACTGGCAGAAGTGGAATAAGTCTTCATTTAGAAAGTTATGACTTCCTGATGTTCTTTAGAACTTGAAGAGCTCCTGGAAATGGCTGAAACATGCCTATTCGTTCTCTGGTTCACTATGATCAGAGTTACTATAATGCAAATTTGATTTAGGTACCCTACATTATTCCTCTTGTTCTTCACACATATTTATAGACTTTCTCTCAGAAAGAGAATGTGGGATTGAGAGAACTCAAAATATTATTCTACTTTAACCAGGAGAAAATAAGGAAGAATCCCAATACCCACTCCTCTGACTGAAGATATAGAAGAGAGAATTAGGCAGCTCTCACTTAAAGAATGTTCTCTAGGGTATCCTTCATTAGATATATTGGTTCTTTAGGCAAATGTTCCAAAGTTCACTCATTTTTCAAGAAGTATGACATTTTTATACAAAATCCTTTGCATGAAATCGTCAAAATCAAATGCTCTACATACTTTAACCTATATTTTTTTCAAGTTCTGATTCCTGAGCCAGGAATACCAAGCACAAAAGTACTGTAAATTTTCATACTGACTGTTCAGAATGGCCTCAGAAATGCTTCCCAATGTGATAAATGGACCCCTGAGGGATGGCACAGTATACGTGTAGGGGACAAATGTCATTGAGACATTTTCCTCCTCCTTAATCCTCCCATGGATCTTGGGATCTGCTTTGGAACTCTGAAAAATGTTTAACACACTGACTGCCATGTCAGCCACCTATGGATGAAACTAAGAAGTTTGTGCCAAGAAGTTTGTGTCAGCCACAGGTGAGCAGTGGCTGACACTCAACTCTGAGCTATTTCGACTGCTTTGGTTGATGCCTGCATGCACTTTGCTCAGCAATTCGTTGGCTTGGCAAGTGAATAACAAGTAACATGATATTGACCTCCATGGAGCATTAATGTACTATGTTCTTGGAAAATGAACTTAATTGATCAGGAAGGTGGTTTGTCAAGCATTATGTGCACATTGGTGGGTTGTTTTGGACAAGCTACACAGGAAGTTGTGACTCACTTTACCTTATTCTCAGCTTGTTCATGTTCCAATTATTCCTTCAGACATGAATGGCACAAATTACATTGCTTTCTTATTGCCAATTTTGGTCAATTTCATTCCTTCAAAACATTTTCCAGCAAAACTGATGGGTGGCAAGAGAAATCTTGACCTTCCGTTAGTTCCGTTAGCAACAAACCATGAAACCAATCATCTGTGCAAAGCTTGAAGAGTTTTAAGCCAGAGTTTTGACATTTTGATGCCATATACTGATGAAATGCCAGTCTACCACATCATAGGACAATTGATTCAGTAATGATGATCTTCTGAACAGGTTTCATTGTCTCTTGGTAATTATCCCCCAGAGCATCAAGTAGAAGTCAAATGTTGGCAATGCAATCACATTTTTCAATCTTATTATTGTCATAGAAATGCATCAACAAAGAAGTAGTTCTAACCAGATCCAAGACCTAACTTGTATTGCAATATACCTCTGGAATTGAGGTTTAATGAGCAATTGAGGGCATTGTTACAAGACCCATTCAAATTAGCTTGAGAACTCCCTGAGATCAGTCTGGTCATTATCGGTCCCAGTTTTTCAAAGAGATTATTGTGTAACAGTGTTATATATAGAGATTTTCTGGGTAAAGCAATTAATCTCTGATGACGGAATTTAGGACTTCATCATTGACAAGATCATAAGCTTCAAGTGGACTGAATATATCATGATCAACAAGCAAACCCCCCCTCCCCAGAAACACATAACATTGAATCAACATCCAGATGTTGAATCAGCATTTAATCAATGTTGATTAAATGTTTTGTGCTATTGGGGCCTTAGGTGTCTGAACAAGAAAACTTTCTGGTGACCTTGAAATATAAATCACATGGTGTTTGCTCCTGAATCTCCAAGTCCTACCATGATCACGTACTTCTCAATTGTCTTTATAAACTTGCCGATTGTTCTCATCTACTTCTGCATCACAACTCTGTCAATCCTTTCGTTATCAGAATCACTAAGATTAAAAAGTGGTGCAAATGTAGTTCCACTACCAGTCGTCAATTTCTGAAGACACCACTTCCACGACGGAATAAGCAATGAACATGTCATGTCCTCTTGGTCAAGAATTTGACTGGACATTTTTATTCAACTGATAATAGAAATAGACAAAATGAGTGGGTTCATAGCCACGTCACCTACTGGTGGTTTACATGGCTACAGCTGAAATATTATGTGGTCAGACAATGTCAATCCATCAAAGCTGACATCATTTTTTGGTTGTAAACATTTTTCTCAAATGGTATCACAACATATTATAACGTCAAAGTTCAAAGTCCAATAGATGCTGGAACAATCCCTCTAGCATGGTGGGAGCACTTTCCTTAGAAGGGTTTGGCAGTCAATGTGTTAATATTTTCACAAAGGATTCTTGAATAAGAACATAGTCGACATCTTGGTGATCTTCTAACCTGTATGTATGGTGGACCTGACTTGGGCCACCTCGATTCCAGACAGGTCTCGAGCTGAACATACAACAAATTTCATCTGTGGCTGCAGGATGATACTGAATGTGATCTCTTTGGAAGTTGAGTATTTCTCAGGAGCAGCCAATGAGACAGAAGCGATGGCATCCGGTTTGGCTCCATTGCTAGACTGTACATTCCAATCCAAGTTGAGAGCTACATCACTCTCATAACTGCAGTGAAACTGAACTGATGTTCCCACTGGGTATTCAACAACTCGGGGAGAAATCTCCAGGACTATTCCACCTGAATTCAACCAGGCATTGCAAAGGGGACAGAAGTAGAAACATGCAATTCAAGTGGGCATGCAAGATAAATCATGCATTATAAACATGCAAGATAAAAGATCCAAAAAAATGAAAGCAGATAACCTGTTGTAATAGTTGCCATGCATGCATGAAAGAATCAAGAACTAAGATACTGCTTACGCTTGATTACATATGGATGAAAAGCAATTTTCACCTGAATGTTCACAATGTCTGCCAGTGAACTGGGGTCGACAAGTGCAGATCACCTGACGAAACTCATTCAAGCTGCAATATTCCTCATGGCCATTGCATGGACACTTCTTGCAAGCTCCAAATGTTCCTCCATTTGCAAAGTCATTGTTGTCTCGATAGTAGCCTGTAGCACAATGCTGAATGAGGGAATGAAATAACTGTCTTTGTATAAAGTTTTCATACTAAGAAAAAAAAAAACCAAACCCATTTTGCAAATACTAAACTATACCTCACAAGACATGCCCATGTAGCCCACAGGACAGCGACACTGCTCTACATCAAATGCTCTGCCTTGGCCAGTCTGTTGTGGCATGGCAATATCAATCGTGACACTCTGTAGAGATGTGAGGGATGTCTCAGAATGATAGATGGCTCGAATGAGGAATGTTTCCACATTCACTAGTGCTCGCATGAGCTCATCTCGTGATGCAGGGGTGTTGCCAGCCTTATTCAGCCAGCCTCCTCTCTCAGTCAACTCAATTGTTACAGTCTGCAAGACAAAATCCAATCAGAATGAAGAGACTATATGAGAACATACAAAATTTTTTATTTTGAACATAAGAGCTGACCTGGTCTTTATTGCTCGTTAGTGGTGATGAATTAACCCAGACAAGTGTGATACCATTCCCATACAGTTCTACATCAGTGTCTTTGATGTACTCTCTTGGTGAGGCTCCTGCCTTCACCTCATACCTCTGCATGTATGTCAACTTCCCTCCATAAGATGTTACCTGCATTCCAATAGAAACACATGCTCCAATCACTTCAATCATGACAATAAGGAAGCAAAAAGTATTATATGAGGTCAATAAAGTCATGCACCTTGTTGCCCTTCATCTCAGGAGGAAGGGACCAATACAGGACCTGGTGTGTATCATCTGAGAAACGATAAGTTATCTGGTCCTCTCGTGTATTCATCTCAAAGCCATCAGTAATTGCACCTCTTTCATTCTCTCTGTGAATGTATGACAAATACAGTAGAGAGTGCATGATGAAGCAAGACTCATTCAATTCAATGCAATTGTGTTCAACCTTTGCCGAAGAGTGATTCCAACATCCACACGCCTGGAATCTCCAATTCGATCCATGTCCAGAGACACCTGTGCCCGATGTAGATTGCTGGAATAGCACTGAGAGGATACGCCAGAGCAGAAGCAGTGCGTGCAACCTGCTGGGTTTTCTTGACTCAGGTGAAATGTTCCTTCCCTACATACGTCACAGCTCAAGCCTTGCACATTTTCTTTGCAGGGGCACTGTCTCCCATCAGGACATCTATTGGATATGGATCCTCTTGGATCACAGTTACATGTGGATGGCAGTGCAAGTTGGCAATCGTATGGAGTCCCTCGAGTTGCATCTCCTGAATACCCTGGAGCACACAGCTCACAGTTGTCTCCTGTTGTGTGGTGCTGGCACTCCTGATGTAAAAAAGCCATTAATTAATGTTTCAATGAATTTGAATTATGTGATACTATGGTGAATCCCAGTAAAGAAGACTTGCCCAACAGACACCAGTCTCTGGATCACAGATTCCTGAATGTCCATAACATTGGCAGGGTTCACACAGACCAAGGTAGAGTCCCTCCTGAGAGCGAGTGAATCCTGGAGCACAGTCTTCACAAGACAAACCTGTATGGCTTTCTGGACAATAACACTGCTCAACTGCAAATGCCCTCTTTTGTCCAGTGTTCCTTTCTTCAGCAACATCCATTGACACACTTACAAGTCTAGGCACAAAACATAATTATTATGCACTAAAAAATTGTAGAAAACCTATACCAGTACACTAGATATCATACCCTGTCTCTTCAGTAGAGGTATAGTAGGTGGCCTTGATCAAAAACTGAGATATATCAGCAAGGGCCATCAAGAGATGCTCCCGATTCATCTGCTGTCCATCATCTCTCTCCCATGCACTCTCATAGAAAGGAATCACGATTGTTTGTTGCACGTTGCTTGCTATAACACCCCTAAAGTAGTGATGCAGCCTGATATTGTTCCCCTAAGAACCAACAAAAATAGTTTCATGAACCTTGGCTCAATTGTCTAGAATCCTCAAATCACAAATTTTGCAGGACTTACTTCTATGATGATGGCTGCAGCACTGCTCACAGACCTATCACCCCCACTGGGAACAACACGAATTACATAAGTCAAATTTCCACCATATGAGGTGACCTTGTCCCCAAGGAATTGAGGTGGCATTCTCCAGTACAGGGTTCGAGATCTTTCTACAGCTTTTAGCCGATAATAGAGTTCGTGAGTCCTAGCATTCACTTCAAGAGCATTGACAATCTCGATTGTATTTTGCTCATCCACAAGGGCCATGCCATCATGTCGACCAGTCAGGAAATGCAAGACTTCCTGTATGTGTTAATGGGATACTTTCGTTTAGTCAATATCCACAATCCTGTGGGGATGGAGATGGGAAAAATGGCTTTGGAAGAAAATGACCTGATTGCGATACCATGATGAGGAGTAGCACTGTCTTGTAACTCCCATGCAGAAGCAAGGAATGCATCCATATGGATTGCTTGCATGAAGGTAGAAGGCATCCTCCTTGCACTCTTTGCACAGTGGTCCGGTTACATACTCCTGATGGAAGAAGAGATGGGTGCGACCACTTGAAAGCATCTTTGTCTCACTTTGAACAGGACATAAACTATAATCTGAGGCTGCATGCACACAGACACATACATTCATCCCTTCCCCATGCCTGTATGCTGAAATTAATGACAATAAAAATCTCCTATCTTTAAAGCAGCTTTTGCTACCAATATGATGAGAGCTGCCAACTTATAGGTACCTATAATGGGGTTTTTGGCCCCTTTTCCAAAATATGCTATTTTTTTAAACATATTGTAGCTCTACTACTGTAAGCCAGTAAAGGGTGACACCTGGGGACAGTTATGCAGTTATGACAATACAACCTATATGGTGGTACAAAAGTCAGGCCAAAGAGGGCTGCCTCACATTATCCCTTTCAGACCTGAATTAAGGCCACTATTGAATAATATCCTTTTTTGCATTTTTCAGCTCTTTCATGATTATAATTGAAATTTTATTGCTTTATATGTAGTTTCCATACTTAGTATAAATTTACAATATCATACATATATTATATATGATACATTTAATTAAATAACTGAAGATTACAAAACTAATGGGTGAAAGAAGGCATCTAATGGAACTAAGCCATGCATAATTGTGCCCATTGTAGCGTAATATGGAGCGCAAAGTCACAAGAATCCTAAGAAATTGCCATAAACACTATGTAAATGCAATGTCCATTGGAATGGATGCCAGGTCTGAAAGGGTTATGCAGTCTTAAAACTTCTATCAATATCCTTCATGCAAATACTGACAGACTTCATGGCCCATACAGCCTTACAATTCAAACTTGGGCATTGTTGCTATTCTAGCACTCTATAGCAATAACACATGATAATTTTGGAGACTCATTGGTTGCAACAGGAAAGAATGGCAAGGGAGATGCCACCACCAGAGAAAGTTGAAAATCTATTAATTGGTGCAATCAAATTGCATATAGGTATCATTTAAATAAATTTTAAATGATGCCTACATGCAATTTTTTTCCATGTGCTACTAAGGGGTCTGCCGAAAGGGTATTAAAATTGAGAATGCCACAATGAATTTTCTCATCTCTAAGGAGTCTTTTTTTCTAGCTGATCTGGTAGAGAAGGGTCACTAGGACTTCATCCTCTCTGCTACTGAGAGATCTGCTGAAAGATTGACTCCTTGGAGGCTAGAAAATTCATCACAGCATTCTTCTCAATTTTCATACCCTTTCAGCAGACCCTTTGGTAGCACATGGAAAAATATTAATGGAACCTATATTTAATCAACAAATGAGATGAAAATTTGCCAATCACCATTGAAGACAGCAGTCTTCTCATAAGGAAAGTAAGAATGGTGTACTGTAACTTGAAGTGCCTCAAGCCAAGAACTTTTCAATCACCCCTCCTACATGTAACTTTTTTTTAATAAGTAAATTATTGACACCTACTTGCTTACAGATAAATAATTATAGTGTAAAATAGAGCTCCTCTAATTCTATCCAACCTTGTATAGATTTACTAAGTTTTCCATATCCCACCTATCATTCTCTCCTGTTGCAACCCAATAATCCTCTCAAATATATCAACATGTGTAGGGAGAAGGCAAAAAGTTGCAGTAGCACCTGAGCAACACCTCATACAAAGTTTGAAGTCAGTGAAGTAAGAATGATGCCTCCAAGGGCTTTCAATAAATAAAAAAATAACACTGTGGTATCCAATGGTGCAATGGTGTTAAACAATCAGAAGACTTGAATTTAAATTTTAAAAATTCATAATTCCTTGATAAAGGAAGTTATCTTTTAAAAAAAGGGACTCCATTTTCCACTTTTGCAATGAAGGCTAGATATGTGGTGCATCATTTCCTGCCATAATTTTTTTTTTTTACCAGTACTTGCATTTCTACAATATTAGGTGGCCAAAATCTTCCCTGAAGGGTATCCATCCTAGTAAATGAATACTGCTATGAGATTAGAATAAGTTGAATTTCACTTGGACTTTCGTACTGACACTTGAAACATAAGAGCAAAGGGTGTCAACAGGAATAGATAACCTTTATTGCACCTGCCAACAACATCAAATCTGTACAGAAGATGTTGACACAATATTTCCTTGCCTCTTTGTGCACCAGTCAGACTGACTTCTTGACAAGTTCCAATTAAGGAATTAGCCCATGCATTCAAATGGGATCAGACACATATACAAGAGACACTGTTCCAAAGCTTAAGATGTAAGTGGAAACATACATCTCATCCCTCTAATAAACTGATTACTGCACAAAATGAATAATCAGAAGTCTGAATAATCAGAATAGTTATCATGCAGTTGAGAAATCCTTAGATGCCTTGTAAGAAAAAATGTTTCAATTAAAGTCCTCATTATTATCATACTTTATCTTGGCAAGTCATAAAGGTCTGGCCACAAAACTCAACTTTACAAGTCAAGCAACATTCGTGAGAGCTATAAAAATAATAAATCTTTCCATGATGAGGAATGTGGCAAGTTGAAGCATCACATTGAAGAATGAAGAAATTGAATGGAATCAAGAAAAGATTGTGTTGATCACAGTGAACATGGCAAAGATTGGGGCCAGGTTTATGTCAAGAGATGGCATAGATTGGCAGGCACTATTATAATTTTGTCCTCTGCGAGTTGGTTGGTGGCTGTTAGGAAGGTCTGTCCTGGTGCGGTCACAATTCTAACGTTACAAGTGAAACAAGTAAAAGAAAGGCAAAAGGAAGAGGATACTCACCAGGAGGAGAGAAAAGATCCAGAAAAGGTTAGCAAAGGAATAATAAAATTTTTCATTGAAAGAGGAGCTATGACTGTAAACTTCGATGCTGTTAGTGTGACAGTATATTTGTGTATGACACTGAAATAGAATAAATTTGATTTACCTTGCATTCACAGTTTCCATTTGCACCTGGGTGTGAAGAAAGGCTCCCTGTTGGGTCACAATGATCCACGGCTAAAGAGGAAATTTTCGCAAATCCAAAGATTAGTTCCAACATCAAGCATATGAAAGACAATATTTTGTCTTTCCTTTTCTCAGAGTGCTTTTTGCAGCTACATGCTTACATTTTTCTCTTATAAAGTATAATCCATATCCTTTAAAAAAAATATTCAGCAATACCTTATGTTATATTCACTGAGAATGCTAAAACAGAAAACAAATTTTCATAATTATGAAATCTTTGAGGTTCAAGGGAAAAATATTCTTCACCAAAAGTTAAATTTTAAGCTTGAAAAGGCAAGTGGCTAGAACAGACTGACTTCAGACACTGGCAAAAAATTTGAAGCATTCAACAGGAGACCAATGGTAGCTACAGACGATGGTGACTAAAGACAGAAAACACACGAGAGAAAAGGCAGAGCCTAGAAGTGCTTTTGAACACAACTTGGAAGATGCCCTGCATGATCACTTCAGAAGACCTGGACCTCATGAAATGACCTCTTCAAGCTTAATCTTCCGAATCCATCCCATATGAAATGGGAAGAGCATGATGATGAAAAGCAACAGAGACCACAAATGACAAGTTGCAAAAGACTGACAACAAAAGGAAACCTCTGGCACAAGGAGACCCAGATATGTCTCAGATGAGGGAGAAAATTTTGACATAAAAAATACATTTTTGCCATAAATCTCTAAAAGCTAAAGCATGCAAGGAAATGGAGGAAACTGGGAGTCAGAGACACATGTCCAGGACCAATAAGAAAGAGACTCAGATTTTTTTCTGCAAGGAAATTTCAGAGTATAATTTTAAACAATCAGGTGAGTGAGCCACAAAGAATGATATTGATTATCCTGGTCATACTGGCTGCTCACCTGACTTGCAAATGAGTTCAGATTCATCACTTCCATCTGAACAGTCGACATTCCCATCACATAGATAACATCTATTGAGGCACTTCCCATCAACCAGGCACTCGTACTCATAGCTTCCACATGCTGGGCACCATATGACATGCAAGATTCATTTCAATTCTAGAGTAAAACCATTCCAGACGGATTAGCTACCAGATACCAGCACCGAATTCTCATTGACATGCATTTGTTAGTTTTCAATTTAGTTTGAAATGGCACGGGATGGATTTAAATTATATCTGATCCATTCAGTAATGAGAGTAGCCAGGGGAAAAAACTCACGCCTGGTGCAATTCAACTCGTCACTCTGGTCGGGGCAATCGACATAACCATCGCAGCGCTTGGAACCGATGATGCAAAGAGATGATCCCAGACAATGGAACATCCCTAATGAACAGTCTACAAAGAATCCCAGGGATAGATAGGTGGAGGAAAGTGTCCCAGAGAAATCAAATACAGTTTGCATGCATGCAGGTGGATGGCCCAAAGCATAGAAGCGGGAGACACAAGCACAGAGCGAGCACCATGCCACAAAAATGCCATTACCACTGCCAGATGGAACCACTAATCCTGAGACATCAACATGGAACCTGAAGTCTCTGATTTCTCTACTTTTTAAACTTTCCTTGAACATATCTCACTCTATGCTTGAATCCACGAGCTTTCAGTGCTTTAGGAAAGAAGAAAAAAGACTGGACTTCAGATTCCAGCGAAGGGAGTCTCAAGAAATATTTTAAAAAGATTTCTTACCACAGCCCACTTCATCAGAGAAGTCACGGCAATCAAAGTTGCCATCACAACGTCTTCTGATATCAATACATGTTCTGTCTTGACAGGTGAATTCATGCAGGCCACAGTGTCCTGACAGACATCATTAGGAGTATGCCAATCATGCAACAGACAGACCATGCAAGTCAGGTGTTCACTTTGCATCAGTACTTCAGTCAAGAATGGATAGAAAGTGAGTGGTTCCTACCTGCACAATGATGCTCATCAGAGCCATCAGGGCAATCAAAATGTCCATTGCAATGGTTTCGAATGCTGATGCATGTCCCATCAGAACATCTGAACTCATACTCATGGCATGCTAAATTGATGATTGAGTAGTAGTCACAGAGTTAAAGTGGGTTAAAGTCTCAAGAAAGAGTGAGATTGAGAAACAGGCAAAAAGGAAAAAGGAAATGAAAAGTGGCATGGAAGGAACTCACAGCATCCATATTCATCAGATCCATCCCTGCAGTCATAATTCTTGTCACAGCGATATCTCAAGTCAACACACTGCCCGTTGTTACAAGTGAACTCTTCAACTCGACATGCTGCCAGGGACAAGAACCTTAGTGTTACCTAGTATAAAGTATTCTCTGAAGTATTACCCTGAGATTCAATGGCATAGATCCGATCCATATTGATATTTGACTGAAAAAGTTGTCTGAGATCTGGAGCTGTAAACCAGCACTGCCTTCAGGCATTCAATGAATGGAAACTACATGTCAGAGAGGAAGTTGACTCGCAACATCCTTCCTCATCAGAATAAAGTTAAACATCTTTATAATGAACCTCTTTAAAGTAAACAACTCTTTGTAATAAAGTTTCCCTCTGGAACAGCAAGATTCCCTGACTTTATATTGTTTATGTGAAAAAAAAGTATAAATTTGCTGTGCTCAGTTTTGCATTGGAGAAAATGTAACTGTTATAAGAGTTCTACATGTTGCTATACATGTACAGTACATGTACAGTATCTTCAATGTTCTATGAACAAGGACTTCATTTGGGTTAGTGAGCTCACAAATGCAACAGATGGAAAAAATAAAAAAGAGAGAGAAGAAAGAGGACAGATGGGACAAAGACAGAGGACAGATAGGCAAGTGCAACTCACAGCATTCTTCTTCATCAGAGTAATCAGGGCAGTCAAATTTTCTATCACAGCGTCTATTAAGGTCTATACAAGTTCTGTCTCGACATGTAAACTGGTCACTTCTGCATGCTGTGAAGTCAAATTACGCATGGGATGCAAAATCAACAGAAGATACGTATAGAAGTGAAAAAAAGTGATACTTCATAGACTACTACTCACAGCATCCCTCCTCATCAGAGTGATCATGGCAATCATAGTAGCGATCACAACGTCTGACAAGGTCAACACAAGTTCCATCTCTGCATGTGAACTGACCACTGTGGCATGCTGTCATGTCAAACAAGGGTGTCATGAAAATTAAGAGAGAAAAAAGAGAAAGGATAAGAAGTGCATAAGAAAGATGGAAAATAAAGGCTGTGAAGACATGAATGTCATGGGATGTGACTCACGGCATCCCTCTTCATCAGAGTAATCATGGCAGTCATAATTTCGATCACATTGCCTGGCAAGTTCTATGCAAGTTCCATCTCTACAAGTGAATTCATCACTTCGGCATGCTGTCACAAAAAACGATGAATTTATAGAGGAAAAAACACCAACAGAGAAGTAAAGAAGAGAAAGCATGGGATGTAACTTACAACAGCCCTCCTCATCAGAGTGATCATGGCAATCAAATTTACGGTCACAACGTCTAAAAAGAGCGACACAACCCCCATCTCTGCAAGTGAACTGGTCACTTCGGCATGCTACCAAACATAATTGAAAAGCAATAGGTACTCAGTCACACAAAGGAACAGACACGCAAGAGAACGAGCATGAAGATGCGAGGATCTCCTATTCTAACAGTCCCCCTCATCCAGGTGATCACGATGGTTTAAGTTACAATCATATCGCCTGGCAATGTTAATGCAGGTTAACTGATAATTTCAGCAAGATGTCATGTGAAAGGTAGCGTCGGCTGACAGTCGGCTGACAGTCGGCTGAAGAAAATAGCTTGATTTCGATGCATTGCAGCAGAGATCCCCAGCTTATGGAGGAATAAAATAAGAAAAAGTTTGAAGAAAGTCAAGACTTACCACAACCACGCTCATCACTGTGGTCTGAGCAGTCGGGGAAGCCATCACAGCGCCGGCGAGCGTCAATGCATAACCCATCAGAGATGCAAGTAAACTCATAGACTGAGCATGCTATGAGAATGAAACGACATGCACATTAAGGTTCTATTTTTTTTGGTCATATCCAGCAAGAAACATGTCTAGGGGATTACTGCAGCCAACCAAAGGCTTGGCCTACACAAAAAGGAACAGACACAGCGCAAGCAGATGTGTTTGCATTGTAACGTGCTAACATGCAGCTGAATGCAGCATACAAACCTCCCTCACTTGATATTTTTGATATCAACATAATCAGGCAATATTAATACTTGACCTCTACTTCTTCATGCCTCTGGCTTTCCTAAGTAAACAGAGCATAAGAGGAAAAGCTGCCCTCGATGGTTCGCGCATCCACGTCGCGAGGATGAACCCCAGTGATTCGGAAGTTCGTGATATCACAGGTCCTACCATGATACAGGGGCTTCTGTTGAGGATGACCAAAACGAACTAAATTTCGCATGACGCGTTTGGCTCAGGAGTTTCATACTGGATCGGTCGTCGCCCAGGATAATTAGGACCATAAGTCATTGTGTTTCCGGGATGACCATTGATAAGTTGGCTGCTGGGGCCGACCAATCCAATATTTCTAGGTGCGTCGGACCCCGTCGAGTGACATCCAAACCTATCGATCGACCTACCACCTTCTATGGCGCATTTTTGTTACGATACCTTAAGGGCAGACCAGGAGTAGATCATAGTAGTAGACGACTGAGGCAACGGACTTTGAATATCGAGACCTGGAACGTGCCGACATTCGGCAGCAAAGAGTCGAAACTCGCAAAAGAAGCTAGTAAACAACGACTGTATATTGTCGGTCGAGCGTCGACCTGGAGTCCCAGGCTGGAAGACGTGAGGTCGAATGGAAACCGATCGGCGAGAAAGTAGCTCTGATACACCCCTGATTCGAGCGAATAGGGTCTTGCCTTCTGTACAGGTCTACGGACCGCGCAACGAGTTAAACAACGACGCGTTCCTTGAAGGGGTGTATGGAGCCCCAGAACAGATTCCGAACGGCGACCTCGTCTAGCCGATAGGGGATTTCATCGTTCCCAAATAGCGTGTTGAAGATACGTGGTGTGGAAAGACAGGCCGTTTCGCCAAAGCCACCCTCAATGGGAATGGCAGAAAACTGCAAGGCTTTGGTGCTGGCAATGTACTAACCATTACCAACACGTTTCTCCAGCACAAGGACATTCATAAGTGTACCTAGTACAGAGGGTCTGACAGTTGGACTATTACTATGTGCAATCGTTGTAGAAGCCATCCAAGAGGAGCAGTGTGGATTTCGCAAAGGGCGCAGCACTACGGACCAGGGGCCGTATACTATTAAAATCTTAAACTTAGTTTAAGCAGATTGCTCAACCTCGGCCATGCATTTGAATGGGGCAAGTACCAACTAAGCATCTTGCTAAGAGGGAAATCACACTTAAGAACGTAATAGAATACGGCCCCAGCTCTTCACTTAACGCCATTTTCTCGGGAGACATTGGGAATATGTCAAAGAAAAAGCTTACGACCGCATAGGCTTATTTCGAGAGAAGCTGTGGAGTGTGCTGCAGGAGTAAGGGGTTAAAAGTCGGCTACTGCAGTCATTCAATCCTTACATAGTGAGGGCAAGTGAACGGGATGAGTTCGGACTCGTTCCCGGTACAAGTGGGACACCGTCAGGGTTGCGTTCTCTTTCCTTTCCAGTTCTTCGTATTCATGGATAGGATCTGTAAGTGTAGCCTGGGCCTCGAAGGGGTCAGCATCGGTGGAATCGAAGTAACGATACTCTCTTTGCCGATGATGTCCTTTAGGCTCGGTCTCGACCGGTTCGATTCGTAATGTTCTGCAGCCGGAATGAAATCGAGCGTTTCTAAAACGCAGGTTATAGTCCTCTCGAGAACTCCTGTACAGCGCAACTTACATATTAGGGAGGCGCTACTGGAACAGATGGAAAAGTTTTAAATACCCCGGGGTCCAGTTCTCATGTGACGGACGATACGAAAAAGAGAGTCGACAGCCGCATCTCCACGGCTTCTGCCGTTTTGCGGGAACTCGTGAGGACTGTGATGGCCAAATCCGAAATTTCCAAGGAGACGAAACTTTCGGTTAAGAGCGTTAAGAGTCCTGCCCATTCACTCTTATGGTTATGGGCTTCGGGTAATGACCGAAAGGATCAGGTCGCGAATACAAACTGCTGGGTGAATACAAGCTAACAATCTGCCACAATGAGGTCATTGTGGCAGATGGTCGGTGGCCAATTTCAATGCTGACCGTGAGGGTACGAAGAGCCGCCATCCGTGAGAACCTCCAGGTCGAGAAGCTACGCATTCAGATAGAGATCATGACTGTTCGCTTGGACACGTCTTCCGCATGCCTCTCAAGAGACTCCCAAAATGAGTCTTCCAATTTAAATTGACCGGCAAAAGACCAATCAGTAGGCATCGTGCAAGGTAGGACAGTCTACAATGC